ATTTTCTCCATTACAAATTACGATAATTTGGTATTGAAAGCCCCACAATTTTCATATGATATTTTGCTCTCCACTCTATTCTGTTCTGCTCTGCTCTCCTCTCGGGCATTTCAACAATTTGTCCCTTCTTTGGCAAAGCGTAACGCTCCCTTTTACTGCATTTTCTCTTTCGATTGTTTTCTAGATTCTTAGAGGCATCGCGGGACAAATCAAGTGTTTTCTGTTAGCAATGGGTTCGTCTGCTTCAGTGCATAAAGATCCAAAATCAGCAATGAAGCTCCGTTTTGTTTTTGCATCTAAATCTGACAAGCTTGTGAGTCCCTCACCCATCAAAGATAAACCCCTTGATAATACTGAAATCAAACTCTCTCTTCCTCAAATCAAACCTCAGCGTTCCCCGGTGCTCCCCGTTAACAGTTTTAGCGACTATGGTACGATCTTCTTGTTTTGCCTTTTCGTTTTCCAGTCCGATTAGTTTTTTGGGATTTCCATTTTTTATGTTCTTTGACGTTGATTTCACTTTCTGTTCGACGCTTTTGTGTGGGGTTTCCCGTGATAAAAAATATATAGAGGAAAATTGATGCTTTTCATGTGAAACACTTTTTCTCAATTTCAAATTTTGAGTTAGTCTGATGTTGGACTACTAGTTTCTTCTATTTGCTAAGGAAATTGGTTGTTCAACAGATATTTTATCTGTATTTTTTAAATTTTAAAGAAAATTATAGAGATGTTCTGTTTGATCATGATTAGCAGGTTGATTTTTCGTATGGTCTTTCAACTAATAGTTCCTTGTTGGATAACTTTATGAGATAATAAACTGTTTGTTGAATGACCTTTAACTCCATGATTAACACAATTCATGTTCAAATGTGTCGTCTAATGAAACTGAGAAAAATTACAATTTTAATAATTTAAGTGTGTTCTTATTTTTTTGTCTGCTGTCTATTCCTTTGTGCAATTAGGGAAGATTGACTGTTAAAATCATGTGCAATGCCAAAATTCTCTTATTGGTGGGGTCATCTGCAGCACATGTTGTCGTGGCACTACTATTTTTTATTTGCTGGATACGACCTTTCAAAAAAAAAAAAAAGGATAGAGACACCCTGTAGCTTATTGTGAAAAATTCAATAGAAGAATCATTTTCAATATGCTAAATATTAAATCCAGATGAATTTGTCATTATAAAAATGGATGTATAATATATGTGTAATCCATGTATAATACGTGTATAATTAGTGTAAAAGGTAAACAGTGAAATACAGGCGAAAGACACCGTTGTACTGGGAAAATGGATTCGTTGTTTCATCCATCATCTGTGCAAGCAGTGGTAACCTTAGTTGAGATTGACACATTTAATTCAGCGACTTTTCTTGTTTGGTAGCTCTAGGATAATCCTCTAAGATTAGTTTCATATTGTCAATTGTGTTACATGTAATTCCCCTCTAGTCATGTGGTTTTGTCACGACAGTCGAGTGGATCCTTCATTGACTACTTTCAAAGCAATCCGATGAATCATCTTGTTTTTCTAGAATATTTATCTGGTAATAGCACTCTCTAGTCAAAATAAGTTTCTTGTGTGTATTTTATGCCATTGACAAAATGCAGTGCAGTTTTTCACCGTAAAGACTAACTAATGCCTACTAGCTTAAATGCTCAGAAGTTACTAACTAGTTCTGTTTCTTGTTCTTTTGAGATGGATGGATTTATTTTGAATGTGATGTGTTGGGATTGTGGTGGAATAATGATGAAAATGACATGCTCTATGCTTTCTTTCAGTTTTCTTCTTTTGTTTCCCTAGTATCCTCAAACTGATTTCATGAAGCAGAGCCCACATTGTGAAGCTTTCAAAATATTTATAGATGAATTGTGTTCATGTTATTGTGCATTTGTCATTGTTATTAGTAGTCTCATGATACATTTTATCGTTTCTAATAGCCTGAGGCATTCCTTTGTTTAGGTAGCAAGGAGGAGACCTTCTTTGATTCCCAGGCCTGGTTGGAGTCAGATTGCGATGATGACTTCTTTAGTGTTAAGGGAGGTGAGACAGACCTTTGATACCTGATGCTCTTTCCATATTCTCCCTCCATCTTTCTTCTTATGTTATTATTTATATTCATAAAATTGAAAATGGCTATTATGCATTTAACTGAATCATTAGTAATGACTGCCAAGGCAATTTGAGAAGACCGAATCTACAAAATCAGGTATTGAAAGTACCTGACATTTTTTGTTCAAGAAAAGTGCCACACCAGTACATAGTTTTTGCTAAAATAGGGGAACACTTCTTATTCTTGTTGCGAGTAGCCACCTTCTATTTACACTTGTAATCATTATCATTAATTCTTATAGTCTATCTGTCTTCAATGCAGATTTTACACCATCACTTGGAAATACTCCTTCGCGTGGAAATACACCTATGCATCGAGGTTTGTTGGTTGGTAATCTGCTAGGTAATCGAACCTCTTTTGGAGAAAGAACTTCTGCTTCTTTACCGCAATCTTCTCCAATACATAAGAGGAAGAATTTACTTGAGCTTTTCAAAGAAAGCTCAAGAAACCGGAATCCCAATGAGCAAGGTGCTGAAGACAACCAAAATGGACAGGCTGCTGGTCTACAGCTACCACCTAAATCCACATCTAGTACACCTCATGTGCCGGTGTCTAGTGGCAAGAGCACCCCTGTAGGAAAGTTCAAAAGTGAGGCCAAATCACCGAGGTCAGTACAATGTTGTCTTCCCAGGTTGAGTGGCAGTTTTAGGGAAAAGAGGAAGAGTATGAGTCCTGCAAATACCGTCGGCTAATAGCTAGAACCCGGCTTTCATAAGTTCTCTATGTATGTATTTGCTAGTGCACAAGGAATTGTGCACCTCTTGAGCTTTGCACTTTTGCCCTCGGTAGCCAATGGAACTTGAGGGCCGTGAGATCAGATGTGCATTGGCACACACTTACTACTGTATATAAACTTATAAAGAACAGCTTTGTTAATAAATTAACAAGGACGTACTCTATTTATGTATATGTTTCTTCTCCTTTCCTCAGTTGTCTGATTAATATTCCTCTCCTCTTAATGAACAAAAAGAACTTAATTACTATGTTATTAAGTAAAACCTTGCAATTATTTGCATTTGGGTCGACTTGCCTCTCCGCACGTATTCTTTGAACAAATAATAAAGTAGGAGGGGGACTAGTGCATAGAGCGTAGGAAGGGGACCTAATTTTGAAGCAGCCATCTAACTTGTGAAGGCATTTCAAAAATTTTGCACGTATCACTATAGATGTACAGTGTCCAAAATTAGTCTTGACAAAGTTCAGCCAGTTTTTGCTAGAACATTGGCCATGTGTCGCTGAAGTATAGTTTATTTTGCCATTTGTCCAAAGATTGTATTCCAACTATTTCTGACTCAACTTTAGGTAGAATTAGACGAATTGTAACTTTAGACACTGCGTCAGAAGTTTAGTTTTTCAAACACCACTATTTAAAAAGTCTGGTATAGGTTAAATGTGTCAATGTAGGCTAGCTATCTCAGCAAAAAAAATTCCAAAGTAGAGGTTGCATTCCCTCTTGAATGAGCCAAGGCTAACTTCTTTAACTGGACTTCCTTTAGGAGTGTGATGTTAGATCAAAATCTCAAAAGGGGAAAAGTTCAATTTTATAGTCCATCAACCTATACAGATTTTTTTTTTTTAAAAAAAGAAAAGCTTTTACCAAGTTTAGATAATATCTCATCATCATGTTCCTTATAATTTAAAGCCCTTAAATTGTATCCAAAAAGGATTTCTCCATTTACCCTCTTTTACGTAAAAAGGGATTTGAACCAACAACAATATACCATTAAAATTCCACAAGCGGGGTCTAAGAAGGATAATATGAATCTTGTCCCTACCTTAAGAGGTAAAAGAGGATTTGAACCGAGATATTTTTTTTTCCAAAAGTTGATTATGATGTTTCCCATTATATTTACTAATGTTGTCATTACTATTAGTGTTATTATTGTGATTTTGGTAACATTTGGGATGTGAAGTGTGTCGTTCCCCCCAAAAAAATACGTGACCATATATCTAACCGATTTGATGTATTGAAGAATTAGTAGTTCAGTTGGTTAATTATTTGAATCATTGGTGAAAGTTCAATTTCTCACAATGTAATCCTCTCCCCTACCCCCAATTTTATTTTATTCTTAAAAAAAGGGATTCCATATATTGTGTATTGCTTAGACTTATGGATTAATTTGCAATTTGCAATGTTGTCCCAACTTGTTCTTGTTTTGTTTTTTAAAAATAAAAATTCTTTCTTGTTACGTACTATATTTTTGTTCCATCTAGTAACAGAGTTTAGCAAGCGTTGCAATTCGAATTGCGTCACCCTATCAATGAGTTTTATATCCTTCCCTTTTTCGTAAAATATGGCCTGTTGTTACCACTTGCGACTGTTAAAGCCAAGTAACAACCATACATGTTTTAGGATTTAAGGTATTCTCTCCATCTTAATTTAAGTGTTCTATTTTCTTTTTAGTTTATTGTAAAAAGAGTGTCTCGTCTCAAAGTGCAATCCCAACTAATCAAAATATTAACAGTAAGAAAAATTCTTTATAGTAATTCGTTGAGCTTCAACATCAAGAAATCTCCCCAATACTACTGATCATATTTTACATTTCTTGGCTTGCATATCTGTTGATGTCATCAGTTACGTTGATCAAACGTATAAAACATCCAAATTTAGTGGGCTCCAAGACCCACGTCCGTTACATCCAAATTCTGAATTCTCAGTACAAATTATTGGTAACAGAATTAAGTGGCACTAGAAAGGCAAAAAGTGACAAATTCTCCATTGTTTTTTCGAAATCAGAAACAAGATTGTCCAGAATTAGTCGGTTCGCAATTTAATTAGTAAGTCCAGAGAAGAGTCAGAAATCGATTTCCCACCGCTCTCGATATCTTTCTAATTTCCGTCTATAAATAATTTTAGTAGTTACAATTTACAAACACCAACGTAATATAAAGATGCTCCACAGACTATTCATGATTATTGTAGGCATTGTGACGCCATTACTAATTTCAGTGTTTGCGAGTTATCCAGCATTTGGGTCGAAAGGTGTTCTTGGATTTGTTGCTGAGATTAATGTTGCAGCACAAAGTGACATGTGCGCCACCTTTGTGACTATTCATGGTTATAAGTGCCACCAATATGAGGTACGTGTAGATGTAATTAATTCCCTTAATTTCATGAGTACTACTCTATATCCACTGGTTTTTCAAATGGGCTTTTGTCCACCAGATTAAACAAGGAATGGTTTTGTGTGTGTTTCTTCAATTTATGATATTTTTCAGGTGACTACTGATGATGGATACATACTGAGTGTGCAAAGAATTCCGCAAGGACGAGTAGGTGGTAGCGGCCACAACAGGCAGCCAGTTTTATTGCAACATGGAATACTGGTGGTAATTAAGCATACTTTTTAGGAATGAAAAAATTAAAGCTATACTCCATTATTCCAATATTTAACATAAGAAATACATTATGATATTTATAATTTACACATAATATCATGATGTATTTCTTATATTTGACATGATAAATATTTTTTAAAAACTCAACAACCACTTAACTTTGTTTAATACAATAACAGTGAAATTCTATAAAACAGAGTTTAGTAAAAAGTAGAGACTACGTAGACCTTATTCATATCATCACCACATCGGGTTAGATAGAATGTTTTTGAATGATTCTCGAATCAAAATAATAATAAAAAGGGAAATTGTCCATGAAGAAAGAAAAATGATGCAAAGTATACATAAATACGAAAAATAAAAACATCAAAATACGTTTAGTGGAAATTCATTTATAATATTAGAAGTTGGAAAGATGAACCCTCTTGCAGTTACTCCCTCTTACTTGTCTTCCTTAGTAGAAATACCGCCTCAAATTATTACATTTATAAAAAAAATGAAAATTAAGAAGTGGAAAAGGTTTTTTTTTTTTTTTAAAAAAATAAAAAATAATTAAGAAGAGGAAAAGGAAAAAGGAGAGGAGATCTTGTTAATTTACGAATCAAGATATAGTTAATTACATTTTTTCATTTTGTCCTCAAATAATTTTTTTGAAAGTATAACAGTATCAATCACCTGTCCATTCCATATTAATGAAATTTGTAAGGCATTTTCCATTTTTCAAATTAACTTAATTGTTCATTTTCCAAGACTATTTTTAGAGTGTTCTTCCAATTTTACCCTTCATTTGGATTTTCAATGTGATGACTTCAATAAATTTAACAATGATTAATAAGAATAAAAATGAAAAATTATGTTCAATTTATGTCTTAATCTTTTTTTCATAAAGGGTGTGAAACACCTCAAAAATTCAATTAACATGGAATATAGTTTCAAAAGGTTCTCCCATTATTAATCTAATCAGTATCGACAGATGAGACACATAAATAAAATATGCTTATAAAATTCTAAAATAAATAATCAAAAATATCCTTCTTATATATATATTTCCATAAACAATATTTTTTTTGGCACAAATACATAAGTAATATGATCCTTAAGACAAAGGAAGATGACAGAAGACAAAAGCTCGATTTGGAGCTCTCTTCGTTCGTTCTTATCCTAAAATAAAATGAATCGCCGAAATTTACACCGACGTTATAATATAAATTTTAAATTCATGTAAAAATGTTTGTGTATTTGCATCTAAAAATATAGCCTCTTGATCATCCTGAGAATATATAAATTGCAATAGAAATATTTATGATTTATTTTTATTAATTTTGTCTGATTTTAAGTAAATAAATTACGTAATTAGTATCTATACTGCGTGATAAATAGCTGGATACATAAAAAAATGAACCGAAGCATCAACAATAGGAGGGATTTTAGTACATGTACAAAGTATTTGAGAATTAGACAAATACTGGAAACATAATTCATGTTGTTGCAGGACGGAGCAACGTGGGTGATGAATTCAGCAGAACAATCACTTGCAATGATTTTAGCAGACAGTGGCTTTGATGTTTGGATTGCCAACACCAGAGGAACAAGATACAGCCTTCGTCATCTCAATCTTCATTCTTATAATCCTGTATTTCCTTCAAATCATTATTCTTAATATTTAAAATTAATTATATAATTGTTACTTAATAAATAATGTCTTATGAAGATAAATTGTGGTACACGTACAGGACTACTGGAATTGGTCATGGGATGATCTTGTAGTCCATGACTTGCCCACTTTCGTTAACCTTGTCTATGAACAAACTGGACACAAAGCTCACTACGTTGGCCATTCATTGGTATGTTCAAGAAGACCTTCCATTTCAATTTGTTTGTCTTATTTTGCTTTGACACGGAGTTTAAAAAGTAAAAAAAAAACCTTTGAATCTTGTGTTGTTAATTTTAAAATATGTAAAATGTATCAAAATATCATTTAATTTGGTAATATATACTATATTTTATAACTAATCAATCATTATATGGAAATTAATATAGGGAACTTTGATAGCTTTGGCATCATTTTCAGAAGGAAGACAAATAGACAAGATAAAATCAGCAGCTTTGCTAAGCCCAATTGCTTATTTGAGCCATATGACTACTGCACTTGGTGTCGTTACTGCTAGATCCTTTCTTGGCGAGGTAATTAATTAAGTGCAAAGTTAGATCTGTCATTTTGAATTCTCTATTATTAAACCTGATAACGCGCGATTATTATGTCAACAGATCACTACTATATTTGGTCTTGCAGAATTTAATCCAACAAGGTATGCAAATCGATCTCTTATGACTAATCCAACTGTTTTTTTGCTCTTCTCAACTATATTGATGACGCTTTTTGTTTGTCAGTGCGCCTGTGTCTATTTTTGTCAAGGCGTTGTGTGCTCAGCGTGGGATTAATTGTTATGACTTCCTCACTGCACTTACCGGTACTAATCTAATTAATTACACATTTTATTCAATAATTATTGACCAAGTCATTTGTATTTGTCATCATAATTCTTCAAATCTTAATTACTTTTCATATGGATATATACAGGGAAGAACTGTTGTCTAAACGCCTCCACGGTCGATTTGTTCTTGAAGAATGAGCCTCAACCCACATCGACTAAGAACTTTGTGCATTTAGCTCAAAGTAAGTCCTCTTCAATAATGTGTATAGACAGAAAAAATTGGTGTAATGGTCAGTTTTGGGACTAGTTATGAATATTTTGTCACTGATTAAAATGAAGAGAAATAGTAGCTAATTACTAACGAAAAGATAAAACTTAGATAAAAATATCGAACATGAAAAAGTTTGTACATAAGGTTAGAGTTTGAAATTTTGACCAAGTGAAATTCTAACACAATGTGCTGGAGTTCTAAGTAATGTTTTGTTACTTTACCCTCGTAATTAATGAATTTCAATCAGTCTAATATACTACTCCATAAATATCTTTTGCGATTTTACTGAGTAAAGTTCAAATGATATGGTTATACGTAAAATTAATCCCCTAGTCATAAAGCTTAATGACTCCACTAATAATCATGTTGCTACTTATCTTAACTAACTGCAATGATGAATGAAATGCATTATGCAGCTGTTAGAGATGGAATCCTTAGGAAATACGACTATGGGAGCTTTATCAACAATTTGGCACATTATGGTGAAGTTAAACCTCCACAGTATAATTTAGCAAATATTCCTCGAGACCTACCCCTGTTTCTGAGCTATGGAGGCCAAGATGCACTTTCTAGTACAAAAGATGTGGAGACATTACTGGATCACCTCAAAAACCACGATGTGGGAAAGTTACATGTTCAATATGTCAAGGATTTTGCTCATGCTGATTTCATACTAGGAACTACTGCTAAGGACATTGTCTTTAACCAGATTGTAACCTTCTTTAGCAACCAAAACTAAGCTATAGCCTATATTCATGGGAGTTTTTGTATTGTACTAGGTCAGTTTGCCAAGTTATGAGAATTTTTAATATATCTTTCTTTTTTCTTTCTTAAATCATCTTCACTTTACGCTTAAGGCAAAATGTGGTATTCTCATTTGAAAAGGGTCTTGCATTGGCCTAAAATGCAAGTCTATTACTAAATCTAATTAAAGATTCTATTTCATTTATTATTGGAAATCAATAGCACCTAACTGACAAATAATTAGAAAGAGTAAAGTTGTAACTTAGATTAAAACCCAAGTCACCCAAAAATCAATGGACCAACCACAATTATCCCCTGTCACACTCATGTCCAGTAGACTTATTACAAAAGAAAGTTGAGATACATAAACAGTCTTGAGATCCAAGATTTGTAGGTACCAACTACCAAATCAATAAGATGGCAATCATATGTGTACAGATGTTGAACTGTATATATACCAAAACTTCTCCCGGTTTCCTAAGCATTGAAGGTCAGGTTTATCTTTAAAAAACTAGCTAGTACGTATCTATTAATATTTGTTAGGCAAAATTATCAATTTGTTACCAAAATGGTGGTAGTACGCAAATCTTTGTTGATATTTGTTATTGTGACGGTAATGATCCAGAAAAATGCAATGGCGGCTCAACACGTTGTTGGTGGAAGCCAAGGATGGGATGAATCCGCTGATTTCAAATCCTGGGCTTCTGGTCAGACATTCAAAGTTGGAGATACACTAGGTTTGTTATTGATTTATTTCTCTTCTCTCCTTCAACCAAAACTTGGTAGAATTAAAGTTGTCAAACGGTTTTTGTGTCAGAGTTGGGTTGCATTTTGACCGAATGGGTTATACTGTCTTTATCTATTTTACCCAATCCATTTAAATTTTGGCGTGTTGGTCGAGTTAGTTAAAATGGATTAATTTTGTCACCTCTAGTAAAAATTCTAATATTTCACTATTTTTTTTTTTGCAGTATTTAGGTACAATCCAGGCCTTCACAGTGTTGTAGAACTTGAGGGTGATAGCTCATACAAGAGTTGTGATATAAGTAGTACAGTGAACTCGATGAGTGCGGGTAACGATGTGGTCAAACTAAACAAGCCAGGGACTAGATACTTTGCTTGTGGAACAGCAGGTCATTGTGACCAGGGCATGAAGCTTAAGATTAAAACTGTTACTGGAAGTGCACCTTCTAATCAGGCAGATTCTTCCACGCCTAGCTCTTCTTCTGCAGCTTCTCATTGTTTTTCTACCACGTTTTTCACTTTCATTGCTGCAATTTTGACTGTACAAATGGCCCTAGTGTTCCTGTTATAAGACACATTTTTGCTTTATTCATTCAATGTTTTGCACTTGATGAGGTAGAGTAGCTGGTATTTAATTATATGGAGTGGAGCACTATGTTAATTTTGTCAATTAAGTTGTTCATTTGATGTATTGTAATTCTTTTACTTCAAATTTTATGAAGAGTTTGAATAATGTCGTTCATTCATTTCTTCCCAGGAGAACAAAGGTTTAGTCTTATAAACTAAAGTTAAATCTTGAACTCGTGTTATATAAATGACTATTGATATCTCATATAAATAATTTTTGTCGACTTATTTACATGGTGAAGTTTAGACTTCCTGTCGTTTACTTCGGCTGTATCTCTTCCTAAAATATTGGAAGTAAAGAAGGGACGATTGAAAGGAAATCTATAAAAGAATGACAAGCATATTTTCTCAATTGAAAAGTTTAGTTCCCCTTTTTGATACTCTTAGACTTTGCCAGATGGGGGAAGACATTCAAAATGTTGCAGGCCCTTAGGTCTTGTCTGGTCAAGATTCCGACCACTGGAAATACCTACAAGAGAAGTACACAAGTTAGTCATACTATTTGGGTTGCAAAATAAACGTAACAAGCTCAATTACTACCAACTTGTTTGGAATTGAGGCATAGTTGTGAAGTATCTTATAAACTCACCCCTGCTGCTTGGTATTTGGGCACGATGATCATGTGTCGAAGCCCGACTTGCCTGAAAGCCACCATTGCCTTTGCTACTGACAGGCTTTCCACCACTGTATGAGGGGTTGTGTTGATCAAAGGATGCAAATCAACATACATTTCCATTTCATCCTTTGTAACTGCAATGTCTTCAATTTTACCCCACCTTTCTGCTAGATCAATCCATGTGAATTTCTCCTCTACTTCCCAATCTTCTGTTCTCCTTCTCTCATTCAAGAACCACTTCTTCTTGAGCACCAAAAGAAGGTGAGTTCTTAAGACAAGTCCATGTAACTCGGGTATCATTCCATCTACAACAGGGAATCCATTGTGTGTGGTGTATTTTAGAACCTCTACGATTCGTCTCACTTTCTCAATTCCCTCAAGTGTAACTACTGGTGGCTTTACATCAGCAAGCTCACCAACTGTGATATTCCTCATCCATGCCTCAGGATGTGCTTCCAAGAAAGGTAGACCTTTTAGTTCCAAAATTATTTCATAGATACTTGGGTTGAAGCAGTCTGCCACACTTTTAGCAATTAGAAGGACAAGCATTGTTATCGGCAGAAGAAGTAGATTGTTTGTCAGCTCAAGAAATATGACACAAACAGTAACTGTCATTCTCATTGAACCAGCCATAAGGGAAGCTGCTCCAAGAACAGCAAACAAATCCTGATCAATTTTTGTATAAGGTCTCATGGCAATGCCAAGCAAGCGACCATAACCTGAACCCATGAGGATGATTGGGATATAGAGACCAGATGGCACAGCAATCCCAAAAGTAATAACTCCCAAGATGCAATACAACAAAAAGAATATAAGAAGTGATATGACTTGAAATTCAGTGCCAGTGTTCAGAGAGAAAATGTTTCTGATAGCGTCCTCCTTTGTTGCAAGGAGAAGAGTGGCCAGATCATTGTAATAATCATTTGGGCAGTTGAATTGTTTGAAGTTTCCTGTTTCTCCAGTGCCAGGACAAGAATCTGATAGAGATGAATCACAAGGCTTGCATTTGGCAAGAAAAGGAAGTCCATATATGCAAATGGAGGTGAAGAGGGAAACACTTAGAGCAAGAAGCAGCTTATGTAATTTTCCCTTCCTGCGCAAGATAACACAAGTATCAATGTTAGAGCAGCCATATATAGAGTTCAAAAAGGTACAATTTGTATCAAATGGTTTAACTTTTGAGAACAGAGCTAACAGATGTTAACTTGGGAATATGGAGGAATTTTTTACTCAATCGAGAGAGCTTACTCGTTAACGAGATTATAGAGCCTGAGGACCTTGTGGAGGACATGATTGTAGAGGCTCCCAAGGAGACCACCAATGACTCCAATAATTACAACAGGGATGATGTCCACAAAATGGTACCTCACAATTACGTCACTCACATCGAACATAATAATTCCCCCTCTTCCAAAAAGTCCACAGCTACCAGATTTGCAGTAATCCATGAAGATCCTTAGTACTACCAGAACAACAGCAGTGCTAAAGAAAGTTCTCCAAATGAGGGCGCTTCTCCACCATGTTGCCACTTCCTCTAACGCGAATAGAACACCAGCTACTGGAGCACGGAAAGCAGCACAAACACCTGATGATGAGCCATATGTGATGAGATCTCGCTTGTCCCTATCATTGTTGAAGTAACGGAGCCAATGCCAACTAAGTTTGTAACTGTCTGACCCACCTTGACCTAATAAAGAAGCAATGCAACTGCCAATGTGAATCAGTGGCTCTTCTTTCCCAAGATCTAACCCAGCTGAAACTGCACCAATGCTTCCAATGATCTGTGGAGTTGAAAAGATTCAACATTGTTTAATAGAATTCAGACAGTTGGAACATTTTATATGCCCACGCCTGAATTATCAGCATTAATAAACAAGTAGGGCTTGTTCAAGTGGTTGAACACCTCCATCATCCATGGATAAGTTGAGGTCTCAAGTCACGCTAGAGGGTAAATGGGAACACTATTGATAAAAATCAGCATGCACCTTAACAAAGAGTGTAGTTGCCCCGAACATATTGGGAGTGTCTACACCATTGAGATAGGCTTTGATTTCTGGAACTCCAGGCCCGGCAGCCGTAGGTGCAAAATAAACAGTGATAAAGGCAGCTACCAATGTCAACAGAAAGTTAGCACCCGCAAAGAATGCAAATCCCATAAAGTACCTACATAATTGTTTTAATTAAGTCAGACTATCTCATTGAAGTTATTTAACATATATAATTGTAAGTCATTAGAACAGAGGAGTTGCTCGGGGTAAAAACAAAACCAAAAATAAATGTTACTTATTAACCTTTTGTCATCAATATAGTTGACAGTAGCGCGGAGTTTGTAACCAGAGATATTTTCGATTGAGAGACTGATGAGGGTGGCCACACCTCCGGTAAAAAGGCCGACCAGAAATGCGAGTGTCCATTTGATGAAGACATACTGTAATGTTTGAAGTCTGGATCTTTTTCTCCAATCATGCTTGAAGAGATCATTCTCGTTGATCCTAAATCAGAGACACATATATACATAATAACATGTAAATACAACAAATCAAATATCTCTGCTAAAACAGATAAGGTTTAGTATTTGTGATTGTTCTTACTCATAATCCAAACTTTCGATGTGGGAGACCTTAGCTCCCACTATGGCTACTGAAGTGGAGGATAGTGTTCGGTTCCTCAAGTAATTGCTCTCTGTCGACTCTCTTTCTTCTTCATTATTGTGTTGTCCCTCCAGCTCCATGTCATTTATTGTTGCTACTTCTGCAAATCCATTTGGCTCCTCCATCAAAGAAACACCACAAGTGAAGCTTCTCTAGATATATACTACTACTAGTAGTTGATAATTCAGATATTGAAGAAGAAGAAAAATGGAGACAATTGCTTATGGTTTTTTTGCAAGTCAAAACAAGAGAGATAGAGGAAACGTGATCTACTTGTTTAAGTAGTACTTAGCTTCCAATTTACAACACATTCACTATAAGTATAAGTAAATCACAGTAATTAATAATTTAATTTTTTTAAAAATATAAAAGTAATTTAATTAAAAAAAATAGAACTTGAATTCGAAAATATAATTTATATCCTCGTATATCTTCTTTGGGTGAGAAACGAGAATGAATATGGATAATCATTGATATAGATGGGAGACTATTATTGGATTTTTTTTGGTAGTTTTATCAACAAATTAAAATTAAATAAATGTGACTAACGACTGATAGGAACATTTTTTTTGGGAGCAATTTTAAATTAGAAATATATCTTTAAAAAAAATATTGAACCTAGTCAGCATGATTGGTTGGAAGATTTCTTGGGTATCAATAAATGAATTATCCATCTGACATGTTTCGATTACTTGGTCCGTTCTTTATAAAATATGATGATGGCAATAAGGTAAATTAAAGGCATTTGTGTTTGGTAATAAATACAAGAATTATCCATATTTAATTTGATCTTCCCACACGTACACCCCATGGATGGTAAAGGGAGATAGTAGGTTTGGGTTGATGTTCACTCGTCTTTCTTTTTTTTTCCTTACCCTTCTTGCATATTTTGGTCTCAATGGTAATTTGGATTCACAATTTAAAAATGAAGGTGAAGAATGCTTACTTCCTATGTCTCAATTTATGTGATACATTTCGTTTTTCAAAAGTCAAACAATTTGTGTTTGATCGAGAGTTTGCACATGGAATCTTCAATTTTCTTGAAATGAAATTTATATATTTGTAAAGTACGTAAAATGTAATATAAGTCACAATAATTGACAATCCAAAATATTTAAAAAGATATATTAAAAATTTACGGTTAAAGATATACTTGTTTGAATTTCAAAATCTGAAATGTGTTACATAAATTGAAACTGCGAGAGTATCATTTTAAGCCATTCTTTCGTCCGTATTATGTGAATCTAACGTGTGGGAAGGTACAAAAGTGTGTGTCATTTTATGGTAAGTATGTGTGACTGAAAATTCGCCAAGGACTTCAGAATTTAGAACCTGTGTATTGTCAATTCATTCACATGGCATATACATCAACAATTAAAATGTGTCCATGATTGGTGTTCTCCCATTTCTCTCTTTGAATTCGACAGGGAAAGCACAAATCAATCAGAGTGCTAAAATTCACTGGCCTGGGTTGCACCTGTACTACTCCATCTAATACATGCTATATAATAACAATAATAATATATTTGATGTTTTAATGAGTTCTGTTATCAGGATTTAGCAATTGTGTATTGTCTATGAGAAGGTGTCAATTAAAAGGATATAAGTTAGACCTAAAATTATAGAGTATAAAAATGACGTAGGCTTAAAAAACCTTCAAATGCTTGGCATAGGTACAAATTTAGTTAAAAATATGATATAATGGTAGAAAGAGATCCATATAGGTGATAGCTACTAGTTGAGGATATATTTATTATATATCTCTCAGTTTTTTTTTTATTATGGTGATAATATAGTATGAGCTTAAATAACAAAATGAGAATTCATATAGTCGATTATAATTTATTTGATATTGGAGCACATCCAATTGCTTTTTATAATTACTATTATTGTATATGTATATAACATTAATTCCTTTGAATAATTGATGATGATCATCTTTATTCGCATCACATATCGCATATTTTTGTGTTATACGCAATTTGATATATATAAATTATTGGTTGAGTTATGGCATGACATGGGTAATCTTTCTAACGGACTGGAGCCCCCAATGTACGAACGTGTTGAATAAATAAATTAGATTACTTCCCTTACTATATTCATTTATGTATATCAAGTTGAAAAAATAAACTCATATAAAATGAGATGGAGGGATTCATCATTTATAGCTATACAAATATTTATCACTTATTTTAGATCATAAGTCATTCTTAAATTTTGTGTCAAGTCAAATTAACTCATATAAAATGAAACGGAGGAGTAATTAATTTAAATATTATATTTATTAAAATAATATAATATAATATAATAAATGTATTCTGATGTGATACGTAACAATTATCCAAAAGCAAGTTGTATAAAAGAAAAGGAAATATTTATGTTGTTTCATGTGGAGACTCGAGACGTCAAAGCCAAGACAAGTGGCTTTTGGATCAGATTTTCCATATCAATTCGTATATTTTTAGTTTTAATGGATTTTATTTGAATTCGTATCACACGAAAGAAAAATGAAAACAATATTTGGAGTTTAATTCAACTGCATAGAAATTCTAGAAGAGGCCATGCCTAATGCAGGTAATAAAAAATAGAAAATTAATGTGAATAGTCTTACACTACAATCTACCGTTTAAACTAAAAATGTCGACATATGTTTAATTTATATATATTTATATATAATGTCAGCGAATCTCCAAGGACACTGGGGCATGTAACATGTCGAGCTTTATTTACTACGTCTTTTCAATTTTAAATAAAACTAGTGTGTAGATATGATTTTTAATTATTTTATTGTTCTTCAATGAAATACTCATCTCCGTCCCTCCTCCGCACCACATTATCGATTATTCAGAGATAATAAATAATGTGATTATCAAATAACTTTTATGTTTCATATTTTTTTTAAAATTATATTGTTACAACAACAAATCAAATATAACCCCACAAAGTAGGGTCTGGACAGGCTAAAACACACGCAGATTTGATTATTATCTTAAAATTAGAGGGGTTGTTTCCAATAGACCCTCAACTAAAAAAAAAAAAAAGAAGAAGAACAAACCCTCCAAAATAAGATAAAAGGAAAAATAACGTAAATGAAGACAATCGTGATAAAATACTACCGATAACAAGACAAATCATGCTAAACAATAGTATTCTTTATTATATTATTATATTATTCACTATCTAAAATGTCAAACATTATTAGTCCTACGTCTTTTTCAATTTTAAATAAAATATGATGCTGATTGCTGGGGCATGAAACATGCGAAACATTAGAAAGCCTTTTTCTACTTAATTTTAAGATAACAATTATTTCCAAAAAAAAATATCCTGTCTCCCCAAACCCAGTGTTAACTTGTATATAATTATTTGTTACAAATTATATTTGCACGACATTGTATGTGTAGACTCTACAAAATGTGAAGGGAGACTAGGTTACATGAAAGTTTAATGAAATATGATAAACAATAAACTCAAAAAAATGACGATCAAAATGCATTGCTTGGGTTTCTGAAGTATAATTATTTTTCTATACGTTTTATACACAAAGTTATCTGCAGCAAAATTAAATTAGAGAGCAAATAAAATCATAATATAAAAAGTTCCTTCTATCAGCCAAGTGTTAATTAATCTCACTATTCAAGTTGTTCAGCTTTAGAATCTCATAAACATCAGAAAGATTTTTTTGTGCCATACCAGGTTTATATATTCGCCTGTGGAGAAACAAGACCAAAGATAAATCATCTCAATACCTTACTCCAATTCAACATCAGAATGTGCTAGTGTTTTCAGCACATAATAATTTACAGACCCCACTTGTGGAATTACAGTACTGAATATGTCGTTTGACAAATCTGTTGTTTTCAACTTCGAAACACGATAGACAATGGGCCCACTTCTTTACCCTTCTCCACTTAAATACAAGAAATGGTTCACCTTTGATAGGTGAACCAAAGCCTAGGCACCAAACAAGTATCCTTGCACTTTGAAGTGAACATCTAACAACTTTTTTCATCAATTAAACCTGCTGCTTTTTACACAGGAACATTCTAAAAAACATGATAATTAGCAATGCATCACACTAATATATGATGTGATATATATACAGCGAGGCAATCGATCAATCTAACACTTTCAAGCAAGGATAAACTATCATGCTTCCATTAGAAAATTGCGGGAAAAAAAAGAAGGTAAAATACAGTAAGGAAATCAGGATATTACATTGGTAGAAAGCCTCTCCAGGATCACAAATGGGTTACAAGTCCTGAGTAACAAATTATAAAAAAACTAACATTAAAAAAGTGTGGTTATATAATAAGTAATGAAACCAATTACACCCCGAGACCTAGTTCCGGAGAGATGAGACTTTCTGTATAAACAATACCATTATAAACAATACCAATATCCTTGTCAATTGTAATTGCATCAATGTCAATGTCATCACAATCTAGAGGCCATATGTGATTGCTTAATCCAAATGATCCAAAAGATATGAGCCTATATACAAATCTTGACATTATTTTCGAATCTAATTTAAAACAGAGCAACACTTGATCATCTGAAAACATATATGTTGGTATGACTCTATAAATTTTGTTGCTTGGTATAGTGAACAATTTCATCCAAGAACCAGGGCCGTCTTTCGTCATCCATAAATTAAAAGATTTGCTATCTTTATAATAAAAACTAAGCATTCCGCCCAACACTGATACACCCACGTCAACTTCAATTTTATGTTTGGACCACTTAGATATAGCGAGGAAACACACAATTTCTGGCAATGATATCTCTCCGTACAACTCAGATGAAATATTAAATGAAACCACGTACAACTTCTTTGATGAGATACCAAGCCAATGAAATGCTCCATATACAAATGGCAAAAATTCCCCACCAGAATACATAGAACAATCTGTCATACCTGATGAGGAGGTTTCGTCAATAATTCTCCATGAACCTTTTTTCAGTGCGAAAATTTCGTTTTCGTTTTGGCCATGAAAAGGCAGGACCAGCCTAAAGACTTTATAGTCATCACTAATAGAGTCATATGCCAATCCGTAAGTAGATCGGAGATCATTATCATCACCATCTTCATAATCACTACTATCTTCATAATCATAATCACTACTATCTTCATAATCATAATCACTACTAGAGTAATATTTGGAATCACTACTAGAGTAATATTTGGAATGG